AAAGAAAATAAAGTCCTAATATGTGTATTATATGCTTCCATTGAGTGTTTATAACCTACCAGACATCTTGAGTAAAATGTAATATATTAGAACCAACTTGTTTTAAAATAAAATTGTAGAACTGTTCAAGATTCTACAAAAAGTGAGTGCTTTGTACTAGCTCACAAGTGTAACACGTGTCAACTGTGATCCTTTGCTGCTGATCTCGACTCTTTCCTCCCAGGGACTCTACAATGCTGTACCCTGATTTTCCTACTTCTTTGATTTATCCACAATGTTCTGCTCTGTCTCCCACCTTCCCAATTTTCCTTGACTTTCTATTCTATTCTTTGACACACACACACACACACACACACACACGCTCGACTCTTTCCTCCTATGGACTCTACAATGCTGTTCCCTGATTTTCCTACTTCTTTGATTTAGCCACAGTGTTCTGCTGTCTCCCACCTTCCCAATTTCCTTGACTTTCTATTCTATTCTTACACACATACACACACACACACACACACACACACACACACATTAGCCCTTGATGACGATCACATTCTGTGTTGCCAAGAATTGGGGGGGAAATTATTTTATCTCTGGGAATATAAACGTATACAATGTTACTGAGGGGGTGTGCCCAAAGATTTCGAGGTCACACTTGCATATTGTGAGGAAAAAAATAGATTTCAAGAGCCAAAGCAATTTCTAGTTTACTGCTATAACCCGTTTTGGAAACTGCCTGGGCTCAGAACACCAAGCTGGCTCAGCAGGACGGTTACTCCCATTCTTTTGCATAACCCAACACATGATTCTTCCCCCCAACTTGCCTGCAAGTTTGTAAAGGAAGACAGAGGCAAGGTTCCTGGGGGGACCCAGCTTTGTCCTAAGCAAGCATGCCTCTCCTTCGGCTGATGAGTCTGGGGAGCCCACATGCATCTGTTACAACATAAGCACTTCCCAGCCATCTGATTGACATCTGCCATGTGTGTTGCTAATGGTTTTGATCTTGCCCTTGGTCTGCTTGACAGGTGCCAAAATTAGCTAATAGAGGAAAATTAAAATTAAATTCTTAATCTCTCACAACTAGCCATATAAATTCCCAGTTGTTTAAGTAATGTAATTAAAAAAAATTAAAACATTCAAAAGAATAAAACATATAACATATAACTAATGATTATATTAGGAAGATCTATCTAAGCTTAAAAGCAATGTAAGAAGTTTTAAAGGCAAAAACCTTTTAACTACATAAAACTATATGTTCAAAAACACTGCAAATGAAGTTCAAGGGCAAATCACAAACTGAACAAGATGTCTGTAAGAAACATTAAGGGCTTCATATCCTAAATATATATTTGTATTTTTAAAAACTCTTACTGGCTTAAAAAAACAACAACACTAATATCCCAAAATGTTAGTGGACAAATAATATGAATATCTCTTGCTGTCAAGATAACATACAAAATACATATACTACAATAAAATATTTAAGGGTTTTATTTCTCCACAATCAGAGAAATATGAATTCAGACAGAAATTTTCACCCATCAAATTAGAAAAAAAAAGAAAATGGAGACACAAAAATCACAATATTTAAAAATTTGGGGAAATTATATTGGCTGTCAAGTAAAAGTACAGAATATATAAGTATATATAATCCAAATTTTGTTACAAAGTTAAACAGAAAAAATATACAGATGATTTTCTTCTTTTTCCTTTTTTATGTTTTTCAAATCTTACACAATGAGCATTTTTTGAACAAAAAAAAATAATAGACCAAGCAAATGAGGCTCCATCATAAATGTATGACAGAAGGAAACGGGTCATTTGGATAATTTGTAACAGCTAGCAAGTAGCTAACCTGTTTTGAGTGTTTACAGGGAATCAAGCACTATGCTAGGTGCTTTATATATTCATCAACACATTTAATCCTCATATGAGTCCTTGGGGTATTGTTATTCCCATTTCATAGAAGATAAATTGAGGCACAAGAAGAGAAAAAGGGTCACACAGCTGGTAGGTAGAGAAGCTGATTCACACCCACACACTCAGACTCCAAAGCCCACACTCCTCAGCAATTCACCATATTGCCTCCCGATGGGGCTCTAAGATGAAATACGGTGCAGCCAGGGAAATGAATATTCTAGAAGAATACCTCATAGCAAGGAAAAATACTTACAACATAGTAAGTGTCAAATTGAAATCAATGTGTCAAGGGTACGTGTGTGCGTGTGTGCATGAGTGTGTGCACACGTGTGTGTGCGCAGGAGAAAGAGAATATGAATTAAACAATCATTTCTCAGAAAGAGAAATGTCCCAGCTCAGGAGTCCGGAAATAAAGTTGGGCTCATTTGCTTTCCAATCTGCCAAGTTTCCAACCTCCAGGCTCTGTAATTCCTTGATAACAAAGTCCTCCCCGCAGTCGTGATACCAGCACAGGCAGGAGTTTAGGAGATCCGAGGGGCTGGGTCTCCTGTGAGCACGTCTCCCAGTCCCTGGGCTGCTCTCAGCAAGAAAAAAGCAGCCCCTTCAGTTATTAATAAGCAATGGGAGTGGGGGGCAGGGAGACAGAGAGTTTTATTTTCACACAATAAAGGAGTAAAAATTTGAGTATTTTAACTTAATTATCATTACGTTAGATAGGCTCTTCCTTACCATATTTGGGGGCACATTTAAAGTACTGGACTCTCCCAACACTTCCATTGTTTTTCCCTTCTGGTTCATCCAACTCAATGCCAGCCCAGTGCCCACTTGCAAATTCAGTTGTTCCACAAAATCTTAATGTTCCAACCTAAAGAAAATGTAAATGAGAGTAACTTTTGAGTATGACTAGTAACTCTATATGTTTAAAAAAGAACATTCTCTCAAAGTAGACTTCAGAACAAGGAAATTACCAGGGATAAAAAGAGATAGTAAGTAGTGATAAATGAGTCAATTCACCAAGAAGACATGAGTCCTAAATCTATATGCACCTAACAACTGAGCTTCAAAAATCAAAAATCACTAACAGAAAGATATATGGAAAATCTTCAAATATTTGGAAATTAAAGAATGTACTTTTAAATTTCCATGGTGACAGAAAGTCACAGGGAAATTAGAAAATATTTTGAATTGAATGAGAATAACACAACATATCAAAACATATGGGATGCAGCAAAAGCAGTACTAAGAAGGTAATTTATAATATTAAAATGCTTGCATTAGGAAAGGTCTCAAATCAATGTTATAAACTTCCACGTTAAGAAACTGGAAAGTGAAGACCTAAAGCAAGCCAAAGGAAGGAAAAAATACAGGGAAGTGATTAAGAACAGAAAAACAAAAGAGAAAAATCAACGAAACCAAAAGCTGGTTCTTCTGAAGAATAAATAAGATTAATAAACTTTCAGTTGGAGACCAAAGGGGATAAAAAGAAGACACAAATTACAAACATTTCAAGTGAAAGAGGGACATTATTATTTTTCCCCCCCGATCATGTAAAGAATAGTAAGAAAATACTATGAATAATTCTATGCCTATACATTTGACAAATAAGATGAAATGTTCTAGTTCCTTAAAAGATACAAACTGTCAAAGCTCACACCTCTATTGAATTTGTAGTTTTAAATCTTCAAAAACAAAATTTCCAGACCCAAGAGGACTCACTGGTGCATTCTACCACAGAACTTCAGGAAAAATAATACCAGTTCTATATAAACTCTTCTAGAACATAAAAATAGATGGACCAGCTCCCAACTCAGTTTATGAAGCCAACATTAATTACCTTGATACCAAAACCAGCCAAAGACATTACAAAAAGCTACAGACCAATATCCCTCGGAAACACAGACACAAGAATCCTCACAAAACAAGAGCACATTAAAGCCAGCAATATACAGGAAGGATGGTGCATCATGACTACGTGAGGGTTATCATGAGAATGAAAGGCTAGTTCCACATTTGAGAATATAATTCATCATGTCCACAGATGAAAGGGTGAAGGCAAGCTTGTCCTTTTGATATATTTTTAAAAAGCTGTAGCAATTTCAACATCATTTCATGATAATATTAATTTTTTAAAAAACTCTCAGCAAACTAGGAATAGATAGCAACTTCCTTAACTAAAGGCATCTTCACAAAGTCTACAGCGAACAAGTTCATACCTAATAATGAAAGACTGAGTGCTGGGAACAGGGCAAGGATGTTGGCTCTCACCATTTCTATTCATCCCAGGCAACGAAATCGGTGAGAAATAAAAAAGGCATACAGATTGGAAAGAAGTAAGACTGTCTCTATTCCAAGGCAGCATGACTGCTTTCATAGGCTACCTCAAAGAATCCACACAGGAAAGTAGGCCAATAGAACCAGTAAATTTAGCAAGGTTACAGGATACATGGTCATACAAAAACGAACTGTATTTCTATATGCTAGTAATAACCAACTGAAAAATAAAATTTCAAAACACCACCATTTACAACACCAAAGATCATGAAAAGCTTAGGTATAAGTCTAACAAAGTATGTGCAATATCTATATGCTGAAAACTACAAAACTGATGAAATAAACCAAAGGCCTATTAGATAGAGAAATATAGTGTATTTGTGATGGACAGACTTGACATTTTTAAGATGTCACTCCTCCGCAACCTGATCTATGTTTAACACAGATCCATTTGAAATCCCAGCAGGATTTTTTATAAAAATCTATAAGCTGATTCTAAAATGTCCATGGAAAGGCGAAGGAACTAAAAAAAGAAAATATTGAAGATCTAAAAATATCTGATGGCGAGACTTGCTATAAAGCTACAGCAATCTGACAGTGTGGCACTAAAGAAAGGAGAGCCATTAGATCAATGGAGCAAAACAGGACCCAGAAAATATGTCCACACATATACGGTCAATTGACACAGAAGCAAAGGCAACTCGAGAGAAAGAATAATATAGTCTTTTCAAAGATGGTGCTGGTCCAGAGACAAAGAAGCATCGATCAGACCATCAAACCTCAGAAGGCAGGCAAAGGAGGGCGGGGGTAACAGGAAGAGATACACCACAGGACTTGTATGCATGCATATAAGCCTACCCAATGGACACAGACACCAGGGGGGTGAGGACATGGGTAGGGGGTGGAGAAGCAATTGGGGGATAAGGACACATATGTAATACCTTAATCAATAAAGAAAAAATGGTGCTGGAACAAATGGATGGATGGAGGAGAGGAAAATGAGAGTGAGTGGGGGAGAAGGGAAGAATTCTAAAATTCCAAAATTCTAAAAAAGCAAAAACAAAAAGCCATAGGGCAACAGTGAATGCCGTGAGGACTCCGGGCTCTGGGGTGTCTTCAATGGGGTGGGTCCTCTTTTCCACATTCACTTTTATTACCAGGTTACAATTCTATCTGAGATTTCACTGTCTGTGGGGTCTCAAGGCCAGACACCATGAATGGTGAGGCCCCGCCCCCGTCTCTGTGAAGTAGCCTGGGGGAAACATCACTGAGGAGGGCAGGGGTCTGTCCTCCATTCACTCAGCAGCTCCATGAGTCACTCGTTTCCCATCCAAGTAAAATGTCTTCATTACTCAGTTCAAATAGTTTATATTCTTAAGTCATGCTTTATGGTAAATGGGCATTTCAGTTTCACATTTTCCATTAAATATTTTCCTACCTACATATTGAATTTTTGCCAAAGACTCAAAACTGACCACACGGGACGCAGCCTTGGCACCCAGACCGCGGGCACAGTGACCTTAGGCACAGCTGTAGACACTGTACTTCGTTACTTTACCTTCTGTCCTGCAATGACCACCCGGTCCCCCAACTTCAGGCCGGCTGAGGTCAGTACTGCCTTGCCAGCGGCACGATCGGAACTTGGGGGCACGGGCTTGGAGACATCGCACAGCAGGGGCACCGCGTCCAGCAGCATCTGCTTGATTTCCTTGGCAGTAGCCGCAGCATCGGCCATTTCCAACGGCATTTCCACTGGGTCTGGAACCACATCGGCGGGCATCTCTCCTTTGTCGTTCTGCAAATAAAGAGAGAATTTTCACTTCACAACTACTTGGAGCTCTACAAAGTCATATTTTAAAAAAAAAATTAATATTTCGCCCAGCCAGTATGGCTCGTGGTTGAGCGTCAACCTATGAACCAGGAGATCTCAGTTCAAAACATCGATGGAGAAACATTGATCAGCTGCCACCTGCACACCTCCTACTGGGGATGTGCCCGCAACCCAGGTACATGCCCTTGACTGGAATCGAACCTGGAACCCTTCAGTCCGCAGGCCGACGCTCTATCCAATGAGCCAAACCAGTTAGGGCAAATATATATATTTTAAAAATAAATTTAACATCTACGATATGCCAGGCACCATTCCAAGGGCTAAAGGTACAACATGAAGGACACAAAACGTCCTGCCCTCCAAGAGCACATTCTATTGGGAGAGACAGACTATAAACAGTCAAACAAGGGAAATACGTGAGGTGTTAATGGTAGAACGTGGTGGCGCAGGGAAGAGGACACAGGGGCAGAGGGGCTACCTGTGCAGGGTAGCAGGGAGGCCTCGTTGCTAAGAAGCGCTGACGCAGAGGCCCTAAGCGGGCAGCACGTAAGCTGGCGGTGAGGAAAGCATTCCAGCCTCAGGAAGAGCAAGTGCTGAGGCGAGTCACAGCAGCCGGCAGCACAGGCTGAGAAGGCGGGTGTGGAGACAGGAGCCACGGGTGACTGGCTTCCCAACCCCAGACCTGAGCCTCCCGCCCCCGCCCCACAGCCACCACCTCGGCTCTGTGACCTCAGCCCCTCCAGCCCACTCCTGGGGTGACTCAGATTCCAGGAATGGAAGCTACACACAGTTTCCACACTTTTCAGATCTGGGCTCTGAATCAAGAAAACAGCTCTGTTCTCACTCTGAAGGAGAGACTGTGCCTGGGACTTGCCCTGCAGCAAGAGGAAACTGGACAGCTACCAGCCCCCTAGCATTTGCGTGGTGCTCATGGAATGAAAACCCTTTATCCTCGCCCGTTCATGTAGGAGAATTTGTAGTAGGAGAGACAAACACCAACTAACCAAGTAAAAATAGTTCTTACATTTCTAGCTTGCGAATGAGGAAAATTAGACTAGGAGAGATTAATGACTTGCTCAAAGTCACTACCATGACCACTGGCGGAGGTGACTTTATAATCCATGTGTAGGCCACCTCTCTCAGGTTTCTCCTCCAGTCTATGCTGTCCTCAAACGAGTGATCTTTCCTATGTTCCCAACTCAAAACTTAGAGCTCATGAGAGGCATTCCAGATTGTAATCTTTTAACATGAGGAATCAAGATTCTTTTACTAAGAAACTTTTTTCCCATTTCTTCTTTACTGATAATTATCTTCATGTGGTGAAGATAAGTTTACAAGAACCATTTTTTTTTTGTTTAAAATTTGAGTCAGTTTGGTCCAAAGTAAAAATGTGGCAGGATAGTAAGAAGCTAGGGACCTTCCTTGACAAGTGGAATAAGGGAAACTGGGACAAAATAATTAAACAAGGCCAAACAGTTTGAGAAATTTATAGGAAGCTAACAAATCACAAGGTGTTACCTTCCCTAACCGAGAACACTTAGCAGCAAAAGGTTCACACATTCCAGACCGTCCCAGGGCAGACCAGCCTCGGTCCTGGTCCCTCTTCAATGATGTTCTTTAAAAATAAAACGAACCAGAAAATAAACCTTTCCCCCTATACACACGTTTTGATGACTCAACATATTGAAGGGCCCCTGGAAAGCTAATGAATATTCTATTAAGTCCTTTCCCTGAGTCCTCCCCTAAGAATCCCAAAGGCTGAAGACAGACAAAGGACCCATGGTGCACTCTCGCTAGAGTACCCCCACGCCTTGTCTCTCTGTTCTATTTCTCTAAGGCAGTGGTTCTCAACCTGTGGGTCGCGACCCCTTTGGGCCTAAGACCATCGGAAAACGCACATATAATTACATATTGTTTTTGTGATTAATCAATATGCTTTAATTATGTTCAATTTGTAACAATGAAAATACATCCTGCATATCAGATATTTACATTACGATTCAGAACAGTAGCAAAATTACAGTTATGAAGTAGCAATGAAAATAATTTTATGGTTGGGGGTCACCACAACATGAGGAACTGTATTAAAGGGCCGCAGCATTAGGAAGGTGGAGAACCACTGCTCTAAGGGATCCCATGAGAGTTGCAACCATGGGAGCAATGGGCAGCGGCAGCTCGTCCCAGGCTCACCCCCTCACCCGGTCTCCAAGGCCCCCTATATCTCTTCCTCTCTCCTGTTGCTTCTTCCACCTTAAGCCCTTCCTTTGTTTCACTGTCCCCAGCTTTAATAAACAACCTCTGAAAATTACCTGAACTCGTACTGTGAATCTTTCCTACACGAAATCAAGAACCCACACGCAGGGGCCCAAAGAAGACCTGCTCTGGGTCCAGTCCCCGTCCAGTAACAAAAATATCATAAGAAGACATGTTATCACATTTCTGGGATCCTAATGGGCTATTTCAATCCCAGGTCTCAAAGAAAAAATACAAAATATAATGAAGATATGTATATGACTATATTAATAACATACTGATATATATATTAATATCTTATTAGGCTTGCTTAAGCTAAGCCTAAGCAACTGTTACAACCAGACGACCAGATGACCGACAACTGGCTGGTAGCTATGACACACACTGACCACCGGGGGGCAGACACTCAATGAAGGAGCTGCCCCCTGGTGGTTAGTGTGCTCCCACAGCCTACCTCCCCCTGGCCAGCCAACCTCCCCAGGCCCATGCAATGTGAAGATCATGTATCATAGAAATGTACACTTGAAATTTATTTAATCCCTACTAACCAATGTCACCCCAATAGATTTAATAAAAAGAAAAAAGAGATGGAAATTTTTTAACATAAATACCTATACTGATAAGTTGTAAGCTATATTTACAATGATTATTTCATTTCATATTTTTGTTAAATCTTCACCTTTCTAGAGTAAGTCACACACTTATGTTAATTCCTATAAAATTTAACAACTAAAACTTCTATTAGGAAAAACATTAAAACAAATAACAATGATTATGTCATGCTAACTAAGAAGGCTTGTTCATGGTTAATTACAGAATTCCTTTTTTTTTCTGAAAGAGTGGTTATCAGAGCATGATCCAAGGGCT